TAATTTGAAGAAGTTACTTGAGAAGGAAACTCAGAAACTTAAATCGGAGCAAGATAAATTGGTGACTGAAAAACTTGCAGAAGAAAGGAAGAAGGCCGAAGCTACTTTGTCTGAAGCTCAAGCAAAGGCTGAAACCAGTCAAGCACAGGCTGTTTTGATGGCAGAGAAGAAGTCATCATTGAAGCTCAACATGTTAGACAATAGGGTGAAGAACGCAACCGCAAAAATAACAGTTGTTGAAAAAGCTGCAACCGAAACCCCTGAAAAGCCGGTCGGCGAGGTGTGGGAGGTTGCGAAAAATGCTAAACCACCTCCACCAACACCAGCTGCTACAGCGGCTACAACTGCTTTACCAAGCCATCCGATTTCAGCAGCTCTGCCAGCAGCGGCAAATACAACAACAGCTGCTGTGCCCCCTACTAACGTAACCGGAACCCAGCCCAATAGTGCACCGGTAGAAGCTACCAAGACTGAGGAGGCTGAGCCACCAAAGAGTGGTATTCCTTCTGGCCCACGTCCAATAACTCCATCCACCAATGGTGCCTCTTCACTGCCAGTCAGTAATATCCCATCTGTAAGCAACACCTCTAATTATCTAAACCTTTCACATCTAATACCAATGAATTATAGGCCCCTCAAGCAGGAAATCAATCACGATTGCCACAAATGCGTGGCGGTAATCAAAATCGTGGAGGTGGAAATATAGGTGCAGGTGGTCGTGGAGGTATTTATCAATCACGTGGAGGAGCCGCTGGTAGAGGAAGGGGTAATGCTACGGGACGGGGAGGAATGAATGCAGCAGCTCAGAGTTTTAGCCCAAATGCTCAGCCTGGACAAAAGAGACCTGTACCAGAAGGTGGTCAACAAGGAAATGGAGGGAAACGTCCTAGGGGTGGAGGAGGAAGTAATTAGTTGATTGGCAAAAGTTGAACTATATTTGCTTGTATTATATTTCAGAGTTGCATAGCCATTGCTTGGCCGTTTTCTTTTTCTTTCAAGAGTGAGGGATTTTTTTTAGGAGTTACGGAAATCATGTATGAGAAATAGTAGCATAGCTATACCTATGATGAGTATTGAGGTAAACGAATATCAGGAGTATAAGGTAAATCAAAAGGGTATCATTGATATTTAGATAAATTGCTAGGAACAAGCCTTCTAAGCACATCTACATGTCGACCGATCATCTTCATCTTGAGACCTTCCACACCACTCTTATCTATTCTACGTAATCCATTTCCATATATCACTGTATAATCTGGGATGACCTCATCTTCTTCAACCTCGCACATTGGTCCAATCTTGCAATGCTAAGTAAAGTACATCATTAGTATGTCATGGTAACATTTTTACTTGCGAAATTCATACCTTTCCTATGACAGCCCCTCTGCCCACCTTTGCATTAATCTCAATAAGAGTTCCTTGTCCCACGAATTTTGCCTCAACAATAGCTCCAGTTTCTACTATAACACCATTCTCCAATGTAACACCTTGAGCTTGTTCTTCGGATGGAAAATTCAACATGCCAATTGAACTACGTTCACCAATAACACACTGTGTACCGATTGTAATGGGAGCAAAACTGCTATTCAATTTTGTACGTGGATGAAGAATGGTATGTCCTCGAATGGTTATGAGATTTGTGCCAATGAGAGAGGCATGGTCTGCGATGGTGATATTGTTTGAGAATGAGATCGGAGGTTTAGGAGGTGGAGGGAGCATGGAAGCTCGTTTGGCGGAGGACATGATTGATGATAGGCGGTGTCAAGGCTTGAAATGTAGAATGTAGGTCTTTGACAAGGTAAATGCAGGGAAGTGCTGGTAGGTATTGGTAAACACCGGCCAGTACTGGCCAGTAATTTCTTGTATTGATAAACCCGAACACGAATTCGAGGCTTGTGGAGGTGGTTGATGTATCTGCTAGAGGGTCAATAGAAGTTGTTGTGAGTAATGTTTGTACCTCATTGTATAGCAAAGCGTCAGGTCATATGAGAATGGACAAATCATATCAATTTTTGCCGCTTACTTCTATGAAATCTCTGAATATTTACCAATCTTTTAGAAAATAACCAAGTACAAGTATATTCAGATGATAATTCAAAGAACAAGAAGTTCAAAAGATAATAATGCACATTAACATTTGTTTCATGTATGAATAGCAGGGCAGTAATTGGGTAGTTGAGAAGAAATATATATAAATTTAAAGTTCCAGATTCAGACTTGCCAACGGAAGTTCTCGGCTATCGCCACCACTTTGTAGCTTTGTCATTTCAACCAATCAAACATTGATGATTTCTATGATGACTTGAACTATTCGGAAATATTTACAACCTCAACTTCCCCCCAATCCGATCACTCTCCACTCACAACAACGCTCAATTGAGCACAAAATACATATCAAAATGCTTTCGCGAAATGCGCCTTCTGCAAAGGCAGCCTCTACACTTTCAACCCGAATCCTATCTACTTCTACAACAACAGCACGATTAACACCTTCGATTTCTTCGATACAACAATCTAGAGGACTTGCCACAGTCGCAGATACACCACCTCCACCAAAGAAGACACAATGGGGTGGATTAAGAGATCAAGATAGAATCTTTCAAAACTTATATGGGCACCACGGAGCGGATCTTGCGAGTGCGAAGAAATATGGTGATTGGCATAGAACGAAGGATATTCTTGCAAAAGGACATGATTGGGTATGTTGGAAAGGTTTGCAACTATAATGTGGGATAGATGTTGACATCCGAAATAGATCATCTCCGAAATCAAGGCTTCTGGTTTGAGAGGTCGTGGTGGTGCTGGATTTCCTTCTGGTATGAAATGGGTAGGTTTGATGTTTCACAAAGCAAATGGATGAAGCTAAAGTATGATAGTCATTCATGAACTTCAAAGGATGGGAAAATGACAACAAACCAAGATATCTCGTCGTAAACGCAGATGAAGGAGAACCCGGAACTTGCAAAGACAGAGAAATTATGCGAAAGGATCCCCACAAACTTATCGAAGGATGTTTAGTTGCAGGAAGAGCAATGAACTGCACGGCCGCATATATCTATATTCGTGGAGAATTTTACCACGAAGCTACCGTTTTACAACGTGCGATTCAAGAAGCATACAAAGATGGATTAATCGGAAAGAATGCTTGCGGTAGTGGATATGATTTCGATGTTTATGTTCATCGTGGAATGGGAGCTTACGTTTGTGGTGAGGAAACATCTTTGATTGAATCACTCGAGGGTAAACCAGGAAAGCCTCGTCTTAAGCCACCTTTCCCTGCTGCTGTCGGTCTTTTCGGATGTCCATCAACTGTGGCAAATGTCGAAACTATTGCTGTTGCACCAACAATTTGTCGAAGAGGTGGAGATTGGTTCGCTTCCTTTGGTAGAGAAAGAAATGCCGGTACAAAACTCTTCTGTATCTCTGGTCATGTCAACAACCCATGTACCGTCGAAGAAGAGATGAGTATTCCTCTTAGAGAACTCATTGATAAACATTGTGGTGGTGTTCGTGGAGGTTGGGATAACCTTAAAGCTGTCATTCCTGGTGGATCATCTACACCAATCTTACCAAAGGATGTTTGTGATGATCAATTGATGGATTTTGATGCATTGAAGGATAGTCAATCTGGTCTTGGAACAGCAGCTGTTATTGTTATGGATAAGAGTACTGATGTTGTACGTGCCATCTCAAGATTGAGTCATTTCTATAGACATGAATCTTGTGGTCAATGTACACCATGCAGAGAAGGTAGCAAGTGGACTGAACAAATCATGAAAAGATTTGAAAAGGGTCAAGGTAGAGTTCGTGAGATTGATATGTTACAAGAACTTACAAAACAAGTTGAGGGTCATACTATTTGTGGTATGTATATCTTTTCCTTTCATGATGAACCTGACTGACGAATATCAATAGCTCTCGGAGAAGCTTTTGCTTGGCCTATTCAAGGTCTTATTAGACATTTCAGACCAGAATTGGAGGCAAGAATGAAGGATTATGCAGAGAAGAATGGAGGTTCAGCATTGGCTGGTGGTTGGGACAATAATGCATTGCAACAAGGTAAACTTATTTCACCCGGTCAATAAATTAGGAAGTGAAGCGGAGCATGGATTGGGAAGTGAATGGAATGATCGACTGTTCATAGGGGGGATGTAAATGTATTTATTGATTTCAAGCATGGGTGCTTTTTTTCAATTGGAAGCCAATATTTTAGTTCATTTGATTTTTTGAGATGTGATAGATTTAATACTGTGTGATGAATAAATCTGTATGTGAATCATGAGAATTAGATATTTACACTACCGAGAGAACATTGGCATTTCAATAATACGTAGCAAATCATAGACATCGAGACACCACACCCTTCAGGGGACACGATTAGGATGTTCCTAGCTAAGCGATCTTGAGTGCCACCTCACTTTTTACTCCACAAAGAACTTTTCCATGCAAGTCGGGTCGGGCATAAAACGTTTGTCATTCATTAAGCTCGAACTTCGTCATTGAGGGTTTTTAATGATATAAGTACGGTACGGTAAGGTCTTTAATATTTTAGACTTCCGCATACTGATTTCTGAATATACGGGAAAAGATTGTTGTGGTTAAGAAGATATAAGGGTACTAGTTTCGGCTCGATTCGAAATTCATTCTTACGATAATTACAACTTGGGCGTAGGTGCCGTGGATTACCATAACTTGACACGATCCCGCGAAAAAGAAGCTTAATAAAATGGGTGTTTTAAAACATGCGGTAGATTTTGCTTCGGATGCTGGTATGGCTTTTATTCTTTCCCCTTTCCTCTTTTGTACTCTTACCGCTTCCCTCTACTCCACTGAACTCACGTGCTGTATCCTCCCATTCATTCTACAAAAATTGTTTACTAATTTTGTGCCCTATGAAAGCCGGCCTAGAAAAAACTCTAAGGTTGATACAAGCTTTATGTCAGATATGTGCATTTTATCCGACGGTTTTGGGGTGGATTTTGTTGGGGTTGGGGATTGGGATGGGGAGAAGAAGTGGAGGGGCAGAGGGGGGTGTGGATGGGAAGATACAGGTGCAGATTGTGGAGAAGTTGTGGAAGGCGAGGAGGGAGCTTGCTGTTGGTATGTTTTGTTTCTTAGTGAGTGGAGAGTGAGGAGTGGGAAGTGGGGAGAGGGGGGGTTGGAGAGATGATGGGACTACGGGATGAGGGGATAAGGGTGAAATTTAGCGAGTGGAGGGGGATACTCAGGAATGGGAAATGAGATGATCGTACTAGTGCGCGAGATTCCTACCCAATCTCTCCCTGAATCCGAAATTCGAACCTAAGAACCATCGTTCGAGGGTCAGATTAAGGGGGGTTTTGCCCACCATGTTCTTGGTCCTCATCCTGGGACGGGTTCAAAGAGCGAAGAGATCACCGAAGGCATGAATAAGAATGAAGAGCCTAAGCTAACATCTACTTAGGACGTCGTTATATGCGTTTCTTCCGTTTCATCAAGAACTTCTCAAAAGCATGGGATAGTTTGTTAAATGAAGATGGGATGAGGATGTTGATTAATGTGGGCAAATCGGGATTTATGGGTGCTTATTTGGGATGTGAGTTTTGTTTTCTTTCCTGCTCTCCTCCGCTCCTGTATCACTATGCATTTGCGCTCTCATACTCTAGAACTCCTACACTCCAACGCTTAGGCGCTCCTGTCCTCCTTGATCTTCGCATCTCTAGAAATCCGCACTCTCACCCTTCGACATCCTAACACTCCTAGTCTCTTACACTTATACTCTCTTGCCCCTCTGCTTCTTTCTCCCTCCTTTCCCGCTTTCCGCTCTCGCTCTTTTGAAATTTGACTAACCAAGACCTACTCAAATAGTGGAAAGTCTCACCATCGTAAGTACCAGCTACCCAACTACCTACCCAGTATTTCCTTACCAACCCTTTAGAAGAGAATAGGATCAAAAAAGGCAAGTAAGAAAATTACTAATCCCAATTCATAAAAAAGTTAGATATTATGGGTGTATGCAATACCCCTTGGTCCTCTACATGTGCTCTTGAGGGCAATAAATTTTGGTTCTACTCACTGAGTATATCGATATTTGGAGGGCTATGGGATCTTTACCATCTGGTTGTCAACAACGACACAACACCGAAACTCAACCCACAGGAAAATATGCATGATCCAGATCTAGCAACAAAAACAGTCGATAGCACACAGATTATCGAGGAACGGCCAGGAAAGAATAAGAAAAAAGAGAAATTCAAGACTGAAATATTGCTGAAAATTATTGAGAATGCAGCTGATCTTTTTCAACCTGGAGCGGGAACGGGGTGGATCGTTAGTGATAGGGGTATAGTAGGTGTGATGACTGTTATTAGTACAGTACTTAGCTCGAGGGATATTTGGAGGAGAGTTGGGGATCAAAAAGGAAGAAGGGTAGGGGGGAACGGGGAAGAATTAGAACGGAGGTAGAAACAATAGGGGAGAAGAGAATGAGAGACAAATGACGAGATTCCACCTTGTTTTATGTGTATGTAAATATTCATGAGATATTATATGCCTTTTGAATAATAGAAAGGAATGACAAGATCATCATCTCTTTAAAAGGCATCTGCGTATGGAGGATGATGTGAGGATATGAATGGGCAGAATGGATAAGATGTATGGTCCGTGCGGTCTCAGCAAATGTACGAACAGCTATCCGTGGTGTTGAAGAAGTTCAAGTCAATGGAGTATAATGTGATTATTATACTCATTTTCCTGGGACTAGAAAAGTCTTGAGATAGTAAAGCATCACTGCAATATGGCAGTAAGAGAATTTGGGAAATTTTGAGGGGGAGAAAAAGGGGTTTGAATATGAAATAATATATTATATACTTGGGTAAAATATATGTCAAGCAGCTACTAGGTAGGTAGGTATCTTATGAGCCCAATATGATTCTTCATTTCTCATAGAATCAAAAGGCGGTAAACAGATAGCGCGCTAAGGAATTTCCTCCAACAAGAAACAAAGTTTGTAAAAGTATCTTGAACCTTCTTTCAATCCATCAAACAATCAACGTCAACCTCAACCACCACCGCCGCCATCCTTCAAGATGGAAGTCTTTGTAGATACTGCGCTTTTGTTTAAGCAGATTCAAGAAAAAGTTACAAGAGATGGTGACGAAGAAGGAGAAGTCACCGAAGAGCTTTTCGAAAGTGAGCTCAAGGTTCTTCGAAAGAGATTAAGACTCAAGAATCCACGAGATACTCCTTTGGAGCATGAGATTAGAACTGCGAATTCGATTTGTGCTTACTTCTGTATGTTCACATTCAATTTATTCCCTCTCTGAAACAATTAGTTAATCTTTAAATAGGGCATGAGAATGGCATCAAGAAGGCATATGAACTCTTCCCTGATGCATTCGAGCCCAGATCGACACGAAAGGCCTCGGAAGTCAAGAATGAGAAGGTTGAGGAGAAACCTGTTGTGGCATCAGCATCATCAAGTCTATCAACGACTACGATTGCTGACATGCCGTTGCATGATTGGTTGATTCTCAAGCAAGGAGATCCAGATACTGCCCAAGGAGTTGATGGAAGTTTGGAAGGCTAAGCAAGCAGCACCGCCAATCGTATCAGGCACTTTAATTGCTGATATGCCCTTGCATGATTGGTTGGCTCTTAAACAAGGAGATCCAGAGACTGCCAAGGAGTTGATGGACAATTGGAAGGCTGAGCAAGCAGAGAAAAAGGCCGAGAAGGCAGCTTTGAAGGCCGCCGCATTGGCAGAGAAAAAGACCGAAGAGACCAGGGCCAAGAGAAAGTCTTCCGTCAAGAGAGAAGAAGGTTCGGACTCAGATGTTGATTCATCGAGCATAATCGGAATTGGGAATCCTCTTGGCGCGCCAACGATGCCGCGGAAGAAGAGATGCTAGATCCTAAAGGATCTATGCAGAATGAATCCAAATCTCGCAGTAACTGTATCAATTGGCGTAATCAGAATGTCGCCTTGATCAAGAAGAGAAAGATAATCTCCGCCGTTTACAAGGGAGATGTTTATGTCAATGCAATGCCATTCGGTGATCTAAATCCGTTTGGTTTACTTGCGAAGAAGGAAGGAATTGAAAGAGGACTTTCATTCATCTCCTGCTGAAGCAGAGAGTGGAGAGACTTCAGAGACTATTACTGAGGGGGTGGAGATGCTCGGTAGATTAAGTCAAGAATATGAGGGGATGTGAAGGGAGGTAGGGGTAGGGAAGGAAACAGGGTGGATAAAGGTTTATGAACTCTTGAAAGTTGATTGAGTGATTCCTGAAGGAGCACAATACCTCCTGAAGGAGATGATTGCTATTTTGGAAACTCTTGAGAGTTGGTTCAGTGATTCCTTAAGGAAAACAAAAAGATGACTTGCTTTTTGAGCATAGTAAATCGCATTTGGTAATTATAGTTATTGAAATCATACTTGTCAACAACACCTAATGACTTGCTGACTATTTCTATCTACAGATGTCATGTCATGGTGTTGTGAATCTGCGGTGAATTTATGTGTGATATATTGAGCATTCCCAAATCATTGTCTGGACAGCTGAATCTATTTCTGCGGCAAAGAAATATCAAATGTAACGGCTCCGTCAAACTCCATCTCATGGGGTTACTCAACCGGAAACCCCTAAGTTATTCCATATCCCGACTGAGGATTTCTCGTGACGTTGCAAAATGGGTAAATTGAAAGCGTTTTTATGAGCAATCACAGAGTACTCTCTGGATCTATTCAAAAACGGTGATTCACAATGCAAGTGCTTGACAGTGATACCCAAAGAAGTCACAAGCGAGCTTCAAAATACGTCCCGTGCCAACTTGAGGGTGGAGACATGCATGTCACTCCTTGCCAAAGTTGGGCTCGTACTTTTGGAATTTAGATTACTAGCCAAGATCTCCACCCCATACTACTGAGCTCAAAAGTCTTGACCAACTCTATTTGCCTCGATCCAGCCCTTACCGTCTCGGTGGCATTCCATTGTGTGAGCAGCCACCAACACATAATTGTCATAACTTTAAAGAGGGAATACTCTCCAAATGCCCATGAATGGATATCGAATCAATAGGCAGTTGTTGATCCACTAACAAAGCCATTCAAATCATGGGACTGAACGTCGCTCCGTGGTAAGAGATGATGTTGAGATTCGGTCCCGTGGTGCTGACGCTATTATGTAAGCCGTCGAACATCGATTGGCGGGGCGGGGTGAAGGGGTGCACGCGTACAACCACCTCATCCCTCAAACCTCACATTTTGCCCCACTCTATCTTCTTCTTCAAAAGACTATATCAATGTACTATACCTTCTAAGATGTGTCCTCATATTCCACACAGTAACAACTGTGGAAGTTGACGGTTGCTATGATATGTAAGAATGGGTGAAATATTGGACCACAGTTCCACTCCGTCTATCTAGCCTTTTCTCCATCCGCTACTACCGCAAATGAACACGACCACAACTTCAGGAAAATAATGAGATACTTACTCGTTACTTTGATACTTTTCACAAATCAATCAGAAGCTTGGATACGAGAGGTGGCTAAACACCCTTTACAATGCATGATAGGCTACTACCTTGGAGATATCATTCTTCGAGGTCATCTTCCAGTTTCTAAAAGTCAGATGTCTAGAGTCCAGTTTCCGTTCTTGAGCGGGCAGAGCAAAACCGTTCTGCCTCCCCGTTCTTGTGTCCTCGATTCCTCTTTGCTGCTACTCGCTGTACTCCGATTAGCACTCTAGTTGGGAAGGTTTTAAGTAAGCACCAGCAAGAGCAGCGACGCCTTCGATCTTCTTACGCGATTCCCACCGTACTGCTTGTCCTGTGATCAGCAATTGTTCCCGACCGCCTCATTCGTTATCGACCCAAATTCTACCAGCAACGATAGGCCTTCGCCATTGTCCCAGAGGTATTGAGCCCCTTCGATCACCGGGTAATTGATAGGACTAATAGAGCGGCGGTCCAGGTTCTCTTTGGTAGCCGCTTATGGCTGGGTGAACCGCCGTGTGTGTGTTAACTGAAGTTATTCGCCGTATTCTTCGCGATAGTGTCAAAGCCACACCTCAATGAACATGATGAAGGCCTCGCAATAGGTAACCAACATACTATCCCTCGAATCCTTCTCTCAGATAATATCATAGTGTCAGCAAAAGAGCCTCGAAAGACTCAAGAGCCACGGACATTTAATATTTTTCGACTGTACAATCGCTCTCGAAAGCTTCGTCGACTCGACGTGTAAAGCACAAGCCTTTATGCGATGCGCCTATTACCCAGGTCCCGTCAGACCATAGTATCTGATCCCATTACTCCAGAGTCTAATTAACGTGCCCGAGGACGAAAGCAAACCGCACCGCATTGTGATAGTTAACGGGGGCTTACGGCGTGTCAAATATCGCTTGAAGCTGCGAAGGCGTATTATTGACCTTATACAATAATCGCTGAATTTGGCCTTTGCAACATTCTTGGGATGTTTTGAGCCGTGGCGTAAAACGGTGCGATTTCGATCTAGTTACAAGATTAACTACTTGCTGCCCTTGTTCTGGCGTCATTGCCGTAGGGCATCCAGAACGCGTTAACATATCTGCCGTTCCGGGGTGTGGCCGATGTAGGCTCGAGAAAATCCAGTGATTCGTGCGGCGTTTTCGGACTCCGTGATAGAGCTTACGAATCTGTACGCGCACTGCAATGTTTTAGAACCAAGCAGTATTATTGGGAGCCCTTGGAAAAGCCGTGGATCATTAAAAGTACTAGCCATTTCTGACAATCCTTCGTCGTCTACTACCAAGCCCCCTTTATTGCTGTTATCATTAAGTATTTATTTTCTTGTCTGTTACAGCGTTTTAAGCAATTACATAGGCTTTCATACCCTATATTGTAAGACCTTCAGGGCGTACAAAGGCTCAAGTGAACTTCATCAAAAATTAGGGGTTTTTTGGTAATTTTGAACAATCAATCTAATCAATTAGTTGTCTAAAATTCTCTACATTTAAGCTTATACTTCAAAATGATTCAGAAAAAGCAAACTCTTTAAGATTTCAGATTATACTAGTAGCGACAAATGAGCGAGGCATCATATATATTCTTGATTAAGCTTAGATTATATGGGCTATATTGGCGTTCTCGGCGATTGACTAAAGATTGCAGTGCCGGTGTCTCCACAGATTGCGGTACTTGTTCTTCTAACCTGCCCGTTCAAGACCTTAATTTCATGAAAGCAATTATGAATGTCATGGACGCAGTGGGGTGGACGCGTGTGCTATCCAATCACAAACGGGAGCGCACACCAACGAATTTGACATAGTCATAAGGCTTGGCGTTTTTCGTCACCCGTCCACATTCGTCCACACTGTACACGCATACGCATACGCATGTCCATACTCGTCCACACTCGTCCACAATCGTACCAGCTTGTAGGCAGTTCCTATGGACGCTACATGCAGTCTTGTTTCACGTAGCAAAGTGTTTGTTGGGTGCAGGTCTGGTTGATAGTTGAGATGATCGTTGCAAACGCTAATCAAGAACTACATGGCCCATCATGTAGAAGAGCTCTGATATTAACCATGCATTGGCCGTGGCAATTGGTCTTCATAAGATGATTTGATATTACAACTACTACTCTTTGGGACATAACAGCGCATGGTAAGGATATGCTAGGCGAGAGGCTACAGGCAATACTACCCTCCCCTTAATGAATGACATTCAGAGGGTCCCGTCCACTCTAAGATGAGGCGTATAATCCAAGTAGTTGAAGCCTTGATGTACAGACCGGTAACTGGTCTTCTAGCAACCCCATGGTGGTATATAGAAAATAGTCACAATGCGACAAGATTCGTGTCCAGTGACACCTTCTACTTTTTGAACTCCTCTAAATATTATATGGGTCGCCCCGCTGAATAACTTTAATTTAAGGAGGATGGGGAAGAATTATCTATGGACCCTTTTGTGGTTTGAAGATATATAAGATGAGCACAGAGGCCATGCTCTAAAAACCACCGATACTTACATCTCATTCATTCGTTCAACATGAAGGGCCATAAAGTCCTCAGTGTCGCTTCGGCGCTTTCATTCTTTACCATCGGCCTTTGCGCCAGTAACTCCACTACAACTACGTCTACTTCATCATCAGGTCTCCTGGCAGATGGCAACGTAAACTTGGGGGCTGCCTCTGATGCCTACGAGAAAGCTGTCACTTTCATATCTTCTTTGACAAATGCCCAAAAGATCGCCATCATCACCGGCCAGTCCATCGACGATGGCAACGTAACATGGACTCCCTTGGCATCAAAGGATGGTGCCGTTGGCATCAACATGAACTTCTTTGTTTCAGGTTTCAGCACACCTCAGGCTGTGAGCATGACCTGGAACCGTACACTGTTCCTTGAAAACTTTTCAGCACTTGGAAAGGAGTTCTACGCTTTAGGCGTAAGTTTGGCAGATGGTCCTGTCTCTAGCCCAATGGGACGTGTGGCTTATGGTGGCCGTAATGGCGAAGGATTTGCTCCTGACCCATACTTGAACGGTATTGCCATGGGTCAAGCTATTGCTGGCATAAACAGCGCTGGTGTTGTCACAGTTGGTAGACATTTTCTCTTCAATGAACAGGAGACAAATCGATCTTCTACCAACAGATATTCGAGCAACGTAGATGATAAGACAACTCGCGAAGTCTACCTCTGGCCCTTTGCCGACGCTGTCAAATCCGGCAGTAAGTTAACCCTGTTCTAAAGGAATGATTAAAACTAACATATCAATCTTAGTGATGGCTACTATGTGTGCCATGAACAAGGTTAACAACACTCTTTCATGCGAAAACTCCGAACTCCTCAACAACTACTTGAAGACCGCCGTTGGCTTCCCAGGTATGGTCACTCCTGATCAAGGTGCTCAATCAACCTCTTTCGGCTCCGCCAATGGTGGTCTGGATTATGGATCATCCTCACTATGGTCAGAGGAAATTCTCGAAGCTGGTATCGCCAATGGGAGCTTTACGCAAGAGAGGCTAGATGATATGGCTGTTCGCAATGTCATTGGTTACTACTTCGCTGGTCTTGACGACGGCCTTCTGCCTTCGGAAGCGGGTTACACTGACGACCGTGATGTCCGTGAAGATCACGCGGATGTCATACGACAGGTTGGTGGCGAGGCACTTGTACTTGTCAAGAACACGCAAGATGGTACAGGTCGAGGTTTACCTTTGAGTAAGCCTCGCACTATCTCTCTCTTTGGAGCTCATGCTGGTCCTGCTATGGCTGGTCCCAACCGAGCCTTCAGTGTTCAAGGAACGCCTGCCGATACCTACCAAGGTCACCTCGCCGGTCCTGGTGGCTCTGGTCAGCCATCGCTCTCCTATCTCGTCACTCCATTCCAGGCTATCAGCGCCCGTGCCATTGCCGATCGATCGATGATCTGGTGGGTCCTCAACAAGTAAGTTCATTGTTCTACTCTCTTCGCGTCTAGCATTGCTGACTTGTTTGTGATGTAGCACATACACAGATTCTTCTAGCTCGTCTAGGGGTATGGGCGGTGGTATGGGTGGTGGTATGGGTGGTGGCTTTACTGGAGGTGGTATGCCGACTACGAATACCAACAGCACCAGTATGACAGCTCCAGCCGGCACTTCCGGAAACAGTAGCTCCAGCTCCGGTTCCACAAACTCTGTCAATCTTGGTAGTTTGGGCTCAGGCACAGCATTATCCCCTTCAATCTCGAACTATGCTCTAAACTCCGCTGCCTGCCTCGTTTTCATCAATGCCGACTCTGGAGAGGGTGCTGACCGTGGCGAGCTCTCCAATGATGAGCAGGATACTATGGTCACTACCGTTGCCGACAACTGTAACAACACTATTGTGGTTGTGAATACTGTTGGTCCACGTATCCTAGATGCTTGGATCGAGCACGAGAACGTCACTGCCGTTCTTTACAGTGGTCTTTTGGGTCAAGAGTCTGGAAATGCGATTGCCGATGTCCTGTACGGTGATGTAAACCCTAGTGCGAAGCTCGGATACACTCTTCCCAAGAATGCCACCGATTACCCCTCCGAGTTCAATGTTTGCGAGGAAGATCAATGCGACTACAGTGAGGGAGTGTATCTCGATTACCGCTACTTTGACTCTAAGAATATTACTGTTCGTTACCCATTCGGATACGGTCTCTCCTATACCAACTTCACTTACAGCACCGTGGTTACTGCTACCATTGTCAATCAAACTGCCCTCACATACAAGTACGCTTCAGGACCAATCGGTCTTGGTGGTGAAGCCGATCTTTGGGATGATGTTCTCAACGTTACTACCAGTGTCTCAAACAGTGGTGCTGTAGCTGGCGCTGAGGTTGCCCAACTCTACATTAGCTTCCCTGATGAGGCTGAACAGCCAGTTCGCATTCTTCGGGGCTTTGAGAAGGTCAATATTGCCCCAGGAGAGTCAGCAGATATTTCTTTCAGCCTTCGCCGACGTGATATTAGTTACTGGGATACCGCAGCTCAGGCCTGGGCCGTTGCTTCCGGCGACTACACTATCTCTGTTGGTGCCAGCTCGAGAGATTTGAAGGCTAGCACTACATTGACCCTTACAATTGGCTCCACTAGTACTTAGTGATGTGCTTGATGCATGCGGTAGTAGAGTTCTTGTCCCCCAATAAATTCTTTCTTATTTGTATATAGAACTTAGAACATATAGATAGCGAGCATTACATTATAGATATTATTTTAGGTTTCATCTTATTCCAAGTGTATATTGTGTCAAATTAACATGTAACACTCTTCATAGCAGGTTATGATCTACTTCTATTACTATTATACAATTACTTCTAGAAGAGGTCAAAATTCTAAGTAAAAAGATAATTAAATTACTTTTAAATCTAATTTGATTATCTTTGAAGACAAATAAATTAATATTAAATATAATTAAATTAAATTTAAAGATAAATAAATTAACTTTAAAGATAAATAAATTGAGTTGAAATAAAATTGAATTATCTTGAAAGATAAATAAATTAACTTTCAACATAATTAAATTACCTTAAAAACTAATTAAATCAATTTTAAACCTAATTAAACTAATTTTTAAAGTAATTAATTTAGGTTTATAAGTAAATAAAGTAACGTATTTAATACTAGTCAAATCAATCATCTAATTTAAAATTTGAATTTTATGAGAAAAGTAATTGAATTGATTTCCACCTATTTTTTTTGAAGAATTAAAATATAATTATATGATTCGGAATATCTAATAAATGAAAACTATATTAGAAATTTATATATTCTATTTCAAGTATTACTCTCTACAAAGAATAAGATGAGAAGCATAGGGTAGAAAGTGAGGGCATAAGGAGGACTATCGTATTAAGTGTCGTGTAGCTAACTCTGAGGAGAAGAGCTCTGTATAGAACAGAGCTCTTACTAATACTAACAGGGCTAGGGGCTGGATATGTCAAAGGTCTTCTAGTTGGTGGTGCTGGCGGGGCCATATATGAACGACCGACACGTATGTTCTTATGGTTTCTTATTGAATCTAAAGCATTTGAGATCGCAATGGAGCGTGGATCCATGGGTGGTTCAGAAAATCCTTCAGACTCGGCTGAATAACTTTGGTATCGGGTGTTGTCAGAATGGGTCACCGTTTGGGGGTGGCTTGGACGGCAAGGTTATGATGAGTGCTGGGAGTGGGAATTTCTATTTTGAAACTGGATGAGTATCGACGGAGAAGAGAATTTGTTCATGGAATGGTCTCATTTGAGATGCAATTTTCGGAGGATTGTTTAAATGTCAGGAAGACAAGGGAATGTGAGGGCGAAAGAGACACCTAAAGGGGAAACATAAGGTTTAGGGATGAGCGGAAACTATGAGGAACGTCAAGAGTATGAAGGGATCTCTGGTTTGAATGAGAAATTAAACAATAGTGAAGCTCCAGACATAAGTAGGGGGGTTCTATAGAGATATTTAGTTCACAATAAGGATACTATGGTCTTGGGATACCTCGATATCAGAAACTCATGCTGTCATAAACTATTACTGAAATCAGCTCTCCTGATATGTAGTGCGTGCTATGTCATGCTATCAATGTTATTGGGTTTACTTTATAAATGTAAAGAACCCAAAGTCTGATGCTTAAATATTGTTTAGTAGTCCGAGATGACCAGACGCAAACATTTGGGAGGAAATTCACTTCATTTGAAATTCAGCCTAGCTGCTTGATCTCGCTTGATCTCACACAACAAATTTTGCGACTTGAAGAAATAGAATTGTCACCATCAAAAACATACAATATACTTCGACTCATAAAAATGGCGGACAATCCAGAGAACAATGCTCCTGGTGGAGAACAAAGTAATTCAGAATATCAAAGCTACCAGAATTACGGCGACGACCAAAGACAAGAAAATAACAACCAAAATTTGGAGCTTGATATGGCGCATACTTTAATCCATCCGTCACCCGCTTCTCCATTTCGAATATCGCCCGCTGTGGTACCATGGACACAGCAGATACAACAAATGCAACAGATAACACAAACGCAGATACGAATGTTGGAGGATCAGGTACAACAGATGCGTGCTCAAATGCAGACGCAACAACAACATATTGAACAAATTCAGCAGGCGCTAAATACTAGAAACAATCATCAAATGCGAGATCGAGCAAGCACAGAAAGACAACAGCCTTCCAATTTACCTGACAAGTCACAAGATTCGCGACCATCTCAGATTACCAACACCGAAGATGCCACTACAGATGGCAGAACTGAAACACGAAAAGGAGTTGATACTCTCGAATCTGAAAGTTCTCCTCCCCTTCCACCGTCGAATTTTTTATTGTTGAATGGGGCGCCCCACGCGGCAGATGCTACCTATTACACCACAGAGCCTATAATCGAGAGACACCCTTCTAGTGTGGAACAGAAGCGTGCAGGAGAGGAAGAATTTGAAACCCGTACTGCCAAGAGACCTCGCCATACCCAAGCGCTAGAAGACGTTGATACTGCGGAGACCCAGAGGGAAGAAGATACTCAAACTGAAGATCAAGCCTCATTAGAACGGCCACGTCGACGACAAGAATTGACTCTGCCGCAACGCATGAATGCAGATACTGAAGAACAGCAACGTCAACAAGTAATCTCGGAAAACAACCATCCAGATCAAGTGGCAAGACGAGGTCCACTAGTTATTAGCGAGTTTTTTAGAGACTATCAACCAGTCCTACAAACAGGACCGCCACTCACTGGATACCTTTCTCGAAATCAAGAACCAGAAAAGCAACGAGGCCCACCAGCCTTTAGCTATCTGTCTCAATATCAAGAACAAGAGCAACGACGAGGCCCACCAGTCTCGTTAGTATCAAAATCAAATGATAGAGGCCCAGAGCACACAGGCCCTAATACGTATCCTGGTGGTACGATGGGCGCACATGGCGTGTATAAGATTTGCCTCCGATGCGGTGGATTAGATCATCTGAGTTTTCAGAAGATCTGTCCACAGCATCCAAGAAACAAAAAATAGATGGAACCATTTTGATGGTAAGTTGGTGGATAGCGAATGATTTCTTTCCTTTTATAATATTCCCTTATGGGGATATTGAATGATAACTCATAGGAGACATTCCGCGCGGTCTCTTATGGGACCTAAATCCTCTTATGAGAGATATGAAAATTAGAATAGATAGGTAGTAAATAGTTTCTTCTTTTTCATGTCACAATTGCGTCAAGGAGTCCGTGGTGGCACTGTGATATATACCGTGGATGTATGTGATGGTCAATGGGTACCCAAGTGGGAACCCAATTGGCGTAGCAGGACTAATGGGGTAGGTACAATGACTGGCTATCTCTAGTGGGACCTTGCCTTGCCTCTAGAAATACTTCCTGACGTCGAATTTCTACTAGGCTTGTTTTCGAGTAACCAGAATTCACGCTCCCCCCCTCCTTTTTGCTCAGGCACACTTGCAGTTCATCTTCAATAGCGAGCTCCAAGTCCGGATCAGAGATGAAAAAACTTGCTTGTTGCCATTAGTTATGGCACAGCATATTGAATCGACTTTGAGATAATATTCTCCCATCTCTTTCCCTCCTTACCCCCCCTTCCTTACTCCTTCTTCCTCCGCGTTCTTCTCAACCCCGCCATTTTCTTCTTTTCTCGCCTATCCATTTTTCTCGGGTCATGGCTGCCGTTTCATAGATTTAGATGAACGAGGTTTCACCACAAGCCACACCCAGAATGTAAATGTTATATTGATTTCTATACTAAACTATTCGGATGGAATCACACTAATCACACCTTTATGCCAAACCACTCCCAAGGTATACCCAATGCCAATGCAGATAAAAACGCCATCTATGCACCAGCAAGCCCTCATACATATGCCCCATGCTAATATTCAAACACAATGATGATCGATCATCAACTCAACATCATATGCACACCCCACTATGCCTAACACAATCCATCGTCGTTGTCTTTCCAATTCTTGTCCGAGAACAAAATCTATAAATCTCCTCACCAGACTTGTTTTGCTGCCGCTCTCAAATCATCTACATTCAAGTAATCAACTCCTTCTTTAACAAGAACATCCCAAACATGATTTCTTAACCCAATCGGCCAACTTGGCAGATCCCAATATCTAGCCTTCAATCCTCTTCTATGTGCTCCTCTAAGTTGCCCACGAATGATCTTCATTTGTTTAGGACTTAGCCTTCCTCTCCATATTGTACCCACTGCTTTATTGAAAGAAACAGATGCGTAATATGAGTTCAAGGGATTAAAATCAGTATCTGGTGATACACCAGACATACCCTGTCCATTATTTGGTTTCTTATGAGGAATCGGCATAGGTTTCCTTGCTGGAATCGATACAGCACTCGAGGTTGAAGGTTCAGAGACTTGCTCCTCTGCATCTTCTTCATCTTTATCTAACCCTTCTTCCGGTGCATCGTCTTCAAGATTAGACCAATCTTTCATTTCTTCAGTAACATGTTTTGATTCCCACATTGTATCAAGTGGTGCGTCAAAAAATGCATCGCGATATGTTGAATTTTTGGTAAGGACATCGAATGGTGTATTGCCCGTTCCAACAACAGTGATAGGTCGAGGATGTAAAGTATCATTCTCCACGTAAGAAAGCCACCCACGTTTTCGTAATGGCTCGAGTTGTTGGAGGACCCATTCCCATGTTTCTGCACCATCAGTCTTCAAATCCACTAAAAGTGTTAGGGATTTCCCATCATCCGCATCGAAAACTCCATGATTTGTTCCATTGTAAAAATCAGTAGTTGGATTTTGTCGTTCGAGAATTTCGACCAGAGGGTTAATGTAAAGGGATTGAAATGTTCGATTTCGTTGTAATGATGCAGTATTATGACCAACGTATAACTCATTATCGAAAAGCCAAACATCTGCCTCCACTCCTGTACATCCTGCTCTTAATGCATCGAATAATGGTACTCGTCTCCAATAATCATTGTGCGAATGACATGGAACAGGATTTATATCTCGTGTGAAGTCGGTTGGATACCAAGCCAAATTTTCTGTACCTGTTCCAGATTTCCCCCAATTTTTTAAAACGTCATCAATATCATGACCCCAAAATAATGTTGCGGCCCCGAGTAGAAGATTTGTGAAAAGAAGAATTGATCTAAGAGGTATCAGTATTAGATTCTTAAGTATAGAGAATATTTGAAAAACTCACAAAATTCCTAGACCACTTATCCCCCCAAAGACGAAATAATTGAATATTCCATTCTTTCTCGTTTGTCGCCTGGTCGTTTTATGTAAACCCGTCAATAACCCATCCCCAACATCTGAAGTTGTATCTGTATTGAAATCTTCAAATCCTTCATGTTCATCAAATGATGATTTCCTCCTACTCTTTAAAGTCATCTTATTCAACCAATATCTCGCCCTACTCGTCTGATTCGAATTCCTCGGTCTTGATATGAATTCATCTCGAAGAGTCGGTGTATCCAAATATTCGAAAGAACCTGCTGGTTTCCTTGATTTTTCCATTGGTGAACCAGAACGAGTTAAGAAATTAGATGAATGATTTGAAGCTTGGATATCGTCATCATGAGAATTCCGTATGGAACCATTTAACATTTCCGTCATTTCATCATATATCTCAGTAGCTTCGGTGCCATGACGGGATGATAAGTGGGACATGTTTTCCCCGTGTTGATAGTCTTATCGAACAAAGTTGGGAGTCTTGGCAGGGTCTTTCAGTCCAGTATAAATAGAAATGTTTAGAACAATTCCAAATCGAATCGAAGAATCCCCTTTAATATTTGACTTGAATACGAAACCAGTTGTACGAGTAGTTTGAGTCTGAATAATTGCTTGGACCAAGTTTCGAAGGACAATTATGAGGTATTAAATACTTGAGACAGTTTTGCTATTTTGGTGTAGATTCAAAGCGCCCTCCAGACCCCAAGTTCCGTGCGCTTGTTGGAGGGAAATGTCACTGCTGACAGATCAAACAGCAGGATGAGGCGATGAAGGAGAGCTCGTATGGTAGTCGGGGTTGGAGTATTTCCGTATATGTAAAACAGTTGACATTTGGTCTAGTACAGTTGTTGGTAACGGTAGGGCAAGTAGGATTTTTTAGGATGAGGATTTGGATGAGACTGAAGCTTTCTGATTGGGAAGTTCGTATGGGGTTGTAGAAAATACCCGCAGCTGCGTGATATTGTATGATTCAGGAGAAAGTTAAAGGATCATGCTTGCCAGGGAGAGAGGAAAAGACTTATGTAGGGAATGAAGAATTTAATATGGGAAAATCTCAAAAAATTGAGGAATAACTAAATATGGAAATGTTGGTGGCAGATTTCCTTCAATTGTGACTTGCTAGAATCAAATGATTCTAAAAGCATGTTTTGTATGGTCACATTGATCCTCTAGATATTTTGCATCTCAACGTAAGACTACATGTATCCCCGGATATGATTCTGCTTTCGGTCATATGTCCAAGCATTTCCTATAGATCAAGCACACCTTTCGACGCCTTCATCTCATATGCCATTTCAACCTCACCCCATGGAACAAACAAATGGATCTAGACCATCGGGGTCAATTATCGGGGAACATCAAAGACAATCGTGCCGCATTCGTTGGGCACGTGTTAAAAGCCACCATTAAGAATGCTTCAAGATCTTCCATCAAATGCAGAGTTACTTGGGAACGAGACCATCGTTTTGTGATTTTCTCAGGTTTTAGGTTTAAGAGTGGAGGTAGCATGATAATATTATATGGTAAAATATTCTGTAAGTTCATTGAACGAGATGATGGTAGATATACCATAAAGTTATTGGCGTTTCAATTTATCATTGATTTGTGTTTGATTTGACAATGCGATTTCTCTTAATTTGAGTGGCTGTTATGGGAGATAGTCTAGAATTGTGCAATGGATCCATATCAATGATGCCAAGCTAAGGAGCTCACCGCCCAAGACCTCATGGCAGAAAAACTTAATTTCCATGATCTCTTTGCGCAAACCTGGATTACAAGAGATTTTCAATGACAACGACGATACTACATTATTTTCAATCACTTAGAAAACATGCCGCATAAACATACGCGTAAAGGGGGGGATGATAAATCTACGTATGAGTTCTCCAATCAAGATGATTTTCACATTCAATCACTAACCCAATATTTCAATAGTATTAACCTACCACCCACTACTATCGCAAAACCTTTACCTGTTTCCAAATCCAGCAATGCCAACGGAATCTTCACCAGCGAACTAAATCCTACGCGCAAAAACAAGAAGAGAAAGAGAAATACCAATGCGGACGATGACACACCGAAAGCATTTGCGAGGCTTATGGCCTTTAAATCCGGACAGAAACTACCCAAAGGATTAGATGATGGATTGAGAAAACCAAAAGCCAAAAAGGCGAAGAATAACGATGATGAATCGGAAAAGAAGAATGTGTCAACACCAAAGAAAGAAGAGCCAGCCATGGAAATTCCCAAAATTAGACCCGGAGAAAAGATGTCGGAGTTTTCAGCAAGAGTTGATGCGGCATTACCAGTTGGAGGATTGATTCATAAAAGTGCTAAAGGTGGTAAAGATCCATTAGGTCTCAAGCAGGGACGTACCAAGACGGAGAAGAAGATGCATCGAATGTATGATGAATGGAGAGAAGAAGAGAAAAAGATTCAAGAGAAACGACAAGAAGCAGCAGAATTGAGGGAGGAGGACGATATGGAGATGGACGGAGAAGGGCAAATGCAGTGGAAATCCGACATAAACACAGATGGAAAGACAGGCAAGAATAAAAAGAAGAAGAAGAAGGTTCTGGGAGAAATTGATGATGGAAATGATGATCCTTGGGCAATAATCGCGAAGAATAGAGGTGAAGTGAAGGGTGGGTTGAATGATGTGGTACAGGCTCCGCCAACATTCACCAAAGTTCCTAAAGCTAAGTTCAAGGAGCTCCAAGGAGCCAAGGTAGAAGTTTCAGATGTACCCAAAGCAGCTGGAAGTTTAAGGAGAAGAGAAGAATTGGGTG